CATCAACATAAAGAAACTGTGACCTTCAGGCCACCTGTGTCCTCTGAACCTTTTTGCAGTTTTTGGTGTCCTACAGAAAATGCTCCCTTCAAAATAAAAGCAGTTTGTTCCCCACTCCCTGGCTCTCAATCCTTTCCCCAAAATGGCAATAAAAACCCAAAAATGAAATTGGGAATTTCATTATACTATTTCTGATTTGGGATATTTTTGCAGAAGTGCAGCCCATAGGTGGCTCACAAAGGAGGCAAAAATTGTCCCCTGCCACCTAGACTTGTTGACCACCCTGATTTAGACACTTCTGGTCACACCAGGTGATAAGATTGAGATGCAGACTTTGATAGGATGCAACAGCAAGAGCAAGACCCTGGAGCTTCTTTGAATGGGGAGGGACACCAGCATGATAAGATGGCTTATGCCCATGTCCACACCAACCTAGAACTGGGTCTGAATTTAATAAACAGGAATTCCTATAACATATATATAACATATTCCTATACCTCTCTGTAATGAAAAGTAAGGTCACATTTTGTTGGCTTGTTCAAACCTGTCTTCTAGCACACTGTGCTCTATTGTCCTCAGGAAAAATGGACAAGATGAAAAAATGCCAGAGAAACTAAAAGGTTGAAACAAATGGTCCCAAAGGGGTGGCGTCATGCTGCCCCATTGATTGCCAGGTTGGGGCCATGGCAACTGCATGCCATGCCAGGAAAAGGCTGCTTTTGTCACTGCAGTGGCAGGTTTTTTGTGCTCTTGTGGCACGCAATGTCTAAACGCTGCACTGCTGCAGTACCAAAAAATTGCCACCATGTGGACAGCAGGGCAACTTCATAGTGTGTTCTTGGTGTCTTGGGGGAGGGGAGTGTTGTGCATACATCATGCCCCCAAGATGCTGGGAACAGTTTGCTGGTCTGTTTAGCATCTAAGTGTTAGAGGAGTTAGTTCCTGGGTAACATAGAATCATAGAACAGGAAGAAACCTCAAGGACCATCGAGTCCAAGCCTTTGCCATGCAAGAATACACAATAAAGCACTCCCAAAAGATGGCCATCTAGCCTCTATTTAAAAACCTTTTTAAAAAGGTGATTCCACTACACTCTGAGGCAGCGTATTCCACTGTCAAACAGCTCTTATTGTCAGGAGGTTCCTCCTAATGTTGAGGTGGAATCTATTTTCCTGTAGTTTGAATACATTGCTCTGTGTCCTACCCTGTGGAGCAACAGAAGACAAGCTTGTTCCATCCTCAATATGGCATCCCTTCAAATATTTAAACATGGCTAATATATCAACTCTTAACCTTCTCTTCCTCAAGCTAAATATACTCAGCTCCTTAAGCAGCTCCTCATAGGGCATGGTTTCCAGGCCTTTCACCATGTTGGTCACCCTCCTCTGGAGACACTCCAGCTTGCCAACATCATTCTTGAATTGTGGTGCCCAGAACTGGACACAATATCCCAGGTGAGTTCTGACCAAAGCAGAAGAGTATGGAACTATTACTTCCCTTGATCTAGACACTACACTCCTATTGATGCAGCCATATTGGCTTTTTAAACTGCTGCATCACACTGTTGACACATGTTCGACTTGTGATCTACTAAGACTCCCAAATCCATTTTGCATGTATTGTTGTCAAGCCAATGTCACCCATCCTCTACCAGAGCCTTTCATTTTTGCTGGTCTGCCAAAGTTTCCAGATTTTTCTTCTAAAGATCAATTTATTATAAAATATTGAGAGACTACTGTTGTTGCTAATAGATATTAATTTTTCAATAATAATAATGGCCTGAGAGCCAGCATGGCGCAGGTGAATGAACAAAACAACTGCAATAAATAGCATCAAATGCTAGTTTTTGTTTACTTAACTTCTGTGCCATGAAAAAAAAAAAAAAGTATTTTGAACTTTCACATTGCTGTATATCTTGTGTATGTCAAATGGTAGCAATGCTAATCAAATCCAAAGAGCAAAATGTGAAAAAGTCAAAAGGGTAGTGAATACTTCTGCAAGGCATTATTCCCTTCATAAGTATTTTGGAAGCTGTGTTTTTTTCACCATCTGAAGCTTCCAGGCTGTGTTTAAAAGACAGTCCTGTTAGAGAAAATCTTACAAATATCTATTTATCTACTCATTCTTCCGACACAGAGATTATACCCCCCTTGGAATTGCATATAGAAGAATTTACTATACATGTGGCATGTATAAACATTCCAAGGTAAATAGCAGCAGAGAGTGCAAAAAAGTAATACATATGTTCAGTAGCATCATAGTCATACAGTGTAAGAATCTTCCATTCTTTCAGTAGTGCATGTGGCCTTCCAGTGATGATGAATTCCTACTCCCATCAACCCTTTCCAAAAGTCAGCCTGTTGGGGGCTTATGGGAAATGGCATACAACAACATTCAGAAAGCCACAGATTCCTGTGCCTCTCTCCCCAAACTCTATTCTTTGCTAAAAGTAAATAATAAATAAACTAAGGTTGTTTACTCAATAGCTTCTAGAAGCTGGGAGATATTTCAAAAATGAGCATTGATATTTTATGGTTAATAAATAGTGCACTGTCCTTGTATGTGGCCTATGGAAAAATGATTAGGCACTTTGAATGTTACCAGTCAAGACAGGTATCTGAACTTTGTAAGAATGACAATGGGCCTTTGCAGACTACCAAAATTAGTGCACATTAAATTGAGGCACTGCCCTGGCTCAGTGCTAGGGAGTCATGGGAATTGCATTTTTTTCTGAGACATTGAGCCTTCTCTGTCAGAGAGCTCTGGTGCCACTATAAAATACAGTTCCATGATTCCCTAACCCTAACCCTAACCCTAAAAGTGGACTCAATTTGCACTATTTCTGGCAGTCTGCAACCCCCCAATGTTAGAGGGGCAGTGAATCCACTTGAGGTCTGTATATGAAATTTAAAGTAGCTATCCAAGGTTCTAAATCCTACACTGCAGATAATTTCAACATATTGGAGAACTATAACATTACAATTAGAACCTGACATTGCTTCATAGGACATTTTCACACTTGGGGTCTCAAAGC